TCTCTCTCTCTCTCTCTCTCTATTGTTTGTGTATAGGAGGAAGGTCAAGTATGTCATGCATGGATAATATGTCGCCATAGATTATCCAAATGTCAGGTGTATGTTGGTGATGGCCATGCATGTGAGCGGTGGTGTTTCTATGATCATATGGAGTGGGAAACAAGCAAGCAAGCGGTGGGATGTAAGATCACGTTACTGACTCTCTTTCGATGTGAGCTGTCGGTGATGCCGACCCCAACCTTAAGACGACTCTCTCTCTCTCTCTCTCTCTCTCTCTCTCTGACTCACACACACACTTCCACCTCTCGTCGGGAATCACGGAATTGTATTTAACTTGGCTTCCCTCTCTCTCTCTCTCTCTCACACACACACACACACACGCTCGCACATGTTTGCATGAAAGCATTGGAACTTTAGCGTCCTCGTAGCAACATAAGCCTATATATCTGCTTACAACTCGATGATTTCTCTCTCTACGTGGGTATATTCGCTCTACGTGGGTACACATGTATGAAGATTAAGTACAGGCAACTAAAGCCCTTGTTTGGAGGATCCAAAGCCACTCGCTTGAGTTGGTGGACCTCATCGAATGCCCGTGATTCAACACGAGGTGTCTCCGGAAGCTTAGGTCACATTATGTTCTTCAGGAACTGAAGGATTATGGACCATACAGCAGAGCAGGGCTTCCACTTGCTTGACTTTTCAGCTGTGGTAGTTCCCTTTGCAACCTAACCTAACCTATGCAGACCATCAATCAATAAACAAGCTCATCAGATTAATCATTGCTTGGCCAGGAAATGTGTTGCATGCATCATTAATGTCTAATCTATTTTATCATCCAAATTCCATGAGAAATTAGATTTACCACGAACATGTTCTCAATTTCAGAGACTCGATATAAAGCCAATAAATTCTCCTTAGTGTTACATTAATCATCTTTTCTTTTCTTTTTTTTGTGTTTAGCTCATTCAAAAGTCAAAACTTTGCTTATCCATATGTACGCATATTCAACACATAATAGGTACATAACCAGACAAGAAGGTGGACACCATATTTGTTATTTTCTTCCTCATGTGTTTGATCAATGATCACTTCGTACTTGATATGCTGATATGCCTATTTGTCTTGTCTTAATCTCTTCTTCTAATGGAAACACTACTAGGAGCACATCACTGATATGGTCGTATCGGACGGAGATCTAGTTTACACATCTATCTTGTAAGAACTAATACTGATGAATAAAGTTTGAGGCGTCCGAGATGATCACTTGAGTATACGCCAAGATATCGATTCGTACAAAGATTAGAGTCGAGTAGGATGCATGACCAAGTCTCTCCGACGCTAAAGTTGAAACTGAAATAAAAAATAATCATTAATGAATAATAATAAATTAATAAAATTTATAAAAGATTATGTTCAAAAATATTTATAAAAACTGGACCGCACCTCTTGGAGATTCAATGGTGATGTGGTCAATGACACGGAATTGATGTGGCGCCTATTATCCACATGTCATGTTAGGCGTATAACATATAGACATACGTATAGATGAGTGAGGGCGTCTCATAAGAGGAAGCCATCGGCATCTGCCTTGAAGACTGTCAAAGATAGCGGCCAACTGCTCATGGAAGAAAGAATCTGACGGCCATACGGCTTCCTGCTATTGTTTTAGGTGACGAATGGTTGTGACGAAACTGTCGGCGTTCGTTCACGGAATTTGACGGCATCTGTACCTGCAAAAGCCGACGACAGAGTGCTTCCCCTTATCTCCACCACACAAGACTTGCCAAGTGCATGTCTCTGCTTCTCGATCCGAGACTTATTGCTGTGCAACCACTGCTACCACTGAAGCCTCAGCACTCATTACTGTGGTGTGAAGAGAGGATTTCATTTCATTCATCCCTCAGGTGGAAACTTTGTTCTTTGCTGTGCCTGAAAAAGGAGCATCGACTTCTTGTAAGTGACTGGAGAACGTGAAGTCAAGCATATAAGTTGAGTTTGTGATGGACAGCTATAGCACACCCATGCTCAAGAATGCCTAGACATTTGAGGCCAAATGGAACTAAACAAACCTCGTGATGTCCCCATGTAGTAGTTCATCTCAAGCTTCCACTGCTTGATCCCTCAGGTTATTCCCTTCCTGTGATTCAAACCCTAGAAGAATGACTGCTTAGAGACAGTTCTCAGAAAAAAAATTACAATATGGTAAAACAATCTTAGGTTCCAAACATGAACTTGGTGGATGCCAGAAATTCCATCATAATAATTCTCATATATAGTATGAATGTGTCTTCGTTTTCATGATGCATTAGCAAGTAGTTGGTTAACACAAAATAATATGATGACAATATCCGAATGATGATGATTATGAAATTTCTTTCCTATGAGCAATGGTATTTATCATACCTAATGAAAATATTTATCGTACCTTCCCAGAGAATTTGCAGGATGATGATCTAGTGAACTTGTACTGAATACCAAAACAAGAGAAATAAGGACTAAGAAAATATTCCAAGTGTGTCCTGCAAGCCTCTGATTGCACTGGTCCTGTGAGATTTTTTAATGCTTGATTTGGTGCAGAAAGATTCACTTGCATGAGCAACCTGCAGAGGTCAACCATCAATAGTTTTCTTTTATGATGCAGACCATGCTAGGGAAATGCAAGAACCCTGTTGAGTATGGAAGGATGTCTGTCCCTATGCCTCATCATCCATGCAGTTATACATGCCCATCATCCATGTATCCACGTCATGCTGCTCTAGATTAGTGTTTGTCACTACGCAACAGATCTCCAAGGAGCTACATCTCTATAATTTAATGATGATCCATGCTGGTGTGGTACAAACACTGTATAAAATATCACTGACCACAAATAACTCTTAGATAAAATTTTCAGTCAAGAGAGGGTGCTGCAGCTTTTATATACCCTTGCTGACCTTTCTCTTAAGGTATAGTGTTACCAGAGTACTCAGTTAGGTAAGAGTCATTTCCCTGCCTACCATGACATGGTTCACTGGACTGGGTGTCCATGTGTGCCTCTGCACGAATCCTAAGCTGCTTCTGTCAAGACCTTCATGTGCTTTAGGGAATCCCATGTTGAAGTCCTGATGCAATGGCATTTTGCTTCTCTTAAAAGGGGTAGACCTTCCTGAAAATAGAAAGAAAAGAGGTGGAGAAGGTTTTTATTTTGACCTATGAGGGAGTGATGCATATTTACGTTGCTTTGGTGTTTGCGAAATGATGTGAGGGGGAAGGAGCAAAATTTGGAGGTTCTCATCATTTATTGCATGTCCTTATGTCTTGTCTGGATATAAAACAATCGAGTCATTACAGATCTAAAACTCTGTTTTTCACTATAACAACAACTATCGGTTGTTGAAATGAACAGCACTAACTTTGTTTCCATACGAACAACACAAATCACCCGATTCAATTGTCCAATATTACGATCAACAAGTTGATCAAAATAGCTTTCTATACTGCCAAATGACCTTAGAACCATGGTTTGAAACTCAAAAGACCACCAATTATTGCTATCTATATGAAACTCTTTCTTATTATATTTTCTTATGTGTGTTTATCGGGCTAATTCTTCTAATCCCAGTCAACTAAACCTAACTCATGAAAGGAGTTTGACCCTCAGGAGTTTAGTTCATGTAGAACTGCTGGCTTGTTCCTGAAATAAGACTTCATTTCAGGAGGATAGAAATTGAGGAACTAATGCGTAAAGGGCACGGAAAATTATCAACCAGCATAAACTTCTGATAATTTAGAACCAAACTTTACCCGAAAGTATGGAACTAATTATGTGGATCCCAAATATTATCATCAATTAGTATTTACATCTCAAATAAACTAGTGTGACTGAAATTGAAAAAATGAAATGACATCTAGAACTAACACAAGAAATGGCAACTCTAGTAAAAGATGCATACTGAATAAGATCTGAAGAACAACTAGTATCAGCACACATTCACATTGTTCTTTGATAAAGTAAACTAGCATTGGAAGCTTGAGGTTTAGCTTCATCCCAAAAATAAAGAGTAAGGATAAAAGCTTGTTTTGTCTGTCTAATCAAGGAATCATCCTTTGGTCACCCACAGTATGGTCAAAGGTTAGGGTAGCTAGGTGGTTCACCAGTTATGTCATGAAAATAGAGACGGTGGTTATGAAATCACACTCGCAACAAAAACATTAATCTGATATAAAGAACAGATATGGCCAAAATTAAGTAAAAGAAAATGTGTGACGATAGCATTCATGTACTCAATGAAGTTATCCCACTCGAACCGAATTGAGTTTAACTACTCAACGAATTAATTGATTAAGTTTTTACCTAGCCACTAAGATTTACGCACAATAAGTTGACTCAAAATCCCACCAAGTATCTAATTGGAAGAAAAATGTAGAGAAAGAAAAGCTGTCAAGTACATATCGGACAAGTTTTTTTTTATCAAACTTTCTTGAAAATTTAATCAGTGGTAAAAACTATTGGCACACGACGAAGTTTGTCCTAAAATCCTTCATCAACATTTGCCAACTAGGTTCTGTTTCAGGATCATAAAACATGGAAATGTCTTTGTCCAATTTAATGATTAGCATACCTCCACGTACGGCTCGTAGAACAAACCGTGATCGCTGGCAAGAAGATGAGAAAAATGATGCTGTTTTCAATTATGTTCCTCCTCTTGTTGAATTGTTCACCTTGAACTATTCTGTCCTGTCCATCAGAAAGCTGGCTGCAAATGTATCTTCCATGGACGAGACCAGCTGCAAAAAAACACATGTGCTGTTTTGGACAAAGTTGCAACCCAGCAGATGGTGACAACGTCTTTTTTCTAGTCTAATCATTTGGCTTGAGCTAAAAGCAAACAAGAGAAATGCGACATGTACCTTCCAAGTTCCGTGCAGTAACATGACAACGGGGGATTACCTTCTTTTTCCTCTGAACAACCACCTTCTTTTTCCTCTGAACAGCTCAAATTTATTTTTTTTTCTCTGAAAATGATTGAAACAGAGTTCCAAGATTGGTGAGATGGCTGGGATAATGCCCAAACAAGTAAAGAGAACCTACAATTAAGCATAAATTAAGTTCATCCATCATCAATTGAGCCGTAGAGTACATGCTGGTAAGTACTTGTGAATCACATTAAATCGTCACCTGATTACAGTTCAGCGGCAAACACCCCTCTTTCTCTGGCCAACACTTGCACACACAGAGAATGACCGTCAACAAGAAACAGAGCACCTGCAAATAGGTCCTTCATTACGTTTATGCATCGTATATCCAACTCTTCCGTTGTTGCTTGGGAAAGTAAATGATCCATCAAGGCTAAATTTCACACAGTAAGATGGGCAGTTCTCATCCGACCCATCTCAGATAGATTGGCATACTTCCCTCAATCACATAATGTTCACGCAAAATTGTCGGTGATAGCTGAAACATGAAATAAGATGATCTCGATGGACGACAAGAACACTGATTGTAGACACAAACTCGTCGAAGCCAACTTGGAGTAAGCCATCGATGGCGTGAGAGGTTGCCCTCCTCCTCCTCGAAGACGATCACATCAGATAGAAGCACTAACTTCGAAAGAATCTAAACTTAGGGCAAGGTTTTGTGGGAACGTTGCAGTGTGTATCGATGGGGCCAAAACTCTTGATTTGGACCAAACAATGATGTGACGCCGCTTAGCCCATCAATGCCCGCTCGACAGAGTGGAAGAATGTGGTTTATGATCTCAGCCCAGCAGAAGAATGGAAACCCTAGAAAATAAGATCTGTGATGAAACCAGGTCCGAACCTTCGATGAAGGGAGGAGAATCTGCTCGGAAGCCATGGCGGAAGGCAAAGACAGACAAGGAAGGGGAGATTGGCGAGGGATGCGTCAATGGCGACATCGACGATCGGTTAAGTTGGATTCAAATGAATCGGTCCCGCTTGACGTCTTTGATCGACATTTCTCATATATCCGTACGTGCCATTAACCAATCCTCGGAGTATAATCACATTAATTTGTACGTACGAGTGGGTGGAAAGATGGGTAGAAAATATTAATAATGTGGGTCCACTGTTTGTTTGGTTCACGAGCCAACAGTGGAATAAAGCATCTGGTTTCGATTGTGGGTCCCGCGTTTTAGCTTGGTAGGTGGGCGTACGTGGCTGATGTCAATCGAGTTAAAATATTGGGTCAAAAACTCGCGGTTTTTTATGTGCATGAAGATTGTTATATATACTCAAGCTGTGTATAGATACTGTACGTTAACAGAAACGAAGATAAATTTGGGGCATTATGTGAGGAGAGCCTTCGTGATTCGTGCTACAACATAGTCTTTGAAATAGTCAGTTTACAGCTGAGTTGATCTTCCAAATCTCCGCTTCAGGCCGTAGGCCCTTTTGTCACCTGCCATTCGATCTCCTCACCTCCTCTCACCGATCTAATTAGCCTCTCCTGCGCCATGGCATGAGCCGGATGCTGTCGTCTTCCTCCACCAGTCTCTACATGACAAAAACGAGTTTCTGGCACTTGTTTTGAGCTCCTGTGGCATTTTCATCGCCCCTCACTGCCTCATCTCTCTCTTGGGTTCCCTGTCTCTAGCTCTCTCTTTCTTGGATTTGGATGAATGGAGACGGCGATGGCCGTGGAGAAGCTGCTGGAGGTGGCTGAGTCGGAGGTGGTGATCGAGTTCAAGCCCGGCACCAAGTGCCGGTCCACCCTACACCTCCGCTCCCTGCACCCGAGCTCCGCCGTCGCCTTCAAGGTGCAGACATCCTCCCCTGCCAAGTTCCACGTCAACCCACCCGCCGGCGTACTCCCGCCGCACGCCTCCGCTGCCCTGCACGTCATCCTCCGCCCCCAGCCACACCCGCCGACCGCCTTCCCCCGCTCCCCCTCCGATCGATTCCTCATCAAGGCATCTCTCTCCTCCGACCGCGGCGATTCTGCCACTCCCTCCCACTCCCACGACGTGAAGCTCAAGGTCGCTTACGTGGGCCCATTCCTTCTCCGCCACGCGGCCGCCCTCGGTGACGCAGCCGCCGTCCGCCACCTTCTGCGCCGCCAGCCACACCTACTTCCTCTCCTGCCTCCCGAGGCGCCCGCGACGCCGGCGGCTGCGGCCACGCCTAAGGGCTGGACGGGTGTCCACGCGGCGGCGGCGGCCGGGGAGTGGGAGGAGCTGAGGCGGATGCTAGAGGAGGAGGAGGAGGAGGCCGCAGTCGCCGAGGTGGTGGAGGCGAGGGACGCGGAGGGGCGGACGCCGGTGATGGTGGCAGCGGGGAAAGGGCATCTGAGGTGCGTGAGGGAGCTGGTGGAGAAGTGGGGGGCAGAGAAGGACGCGCGGAGCCGCGACGGGCGTACGGCGCTGTACCGCGCGGCGTCGAACGGAGACGCCGACACGGTGGCAGCGCTTCTGGAGATGGGCGCCGACGCCGGCATCGCCACCGCCCGAGGCCGCACACCGCTCGACGTGGCTCGGGACAAGGGACATGTAAGTCGATCGCACCTAATCCCCTCTCATCACAGCTTCATCAAATTATCCGACAGTACATTGCTTGATTAGATATATTTCCAACATTCCACAACACAAAGAACAATTATTACTGATCATAAGCTTCATTTATGGTCTTTGAAGAGAGATCACAGGCGTGGTTTATCGACCATGCCCATCTCCTTCCCATGTCACCACCTTTGATGCTTCTTTGGCTGCACGTAGTTGCAAGTTGCAACAACATGAATGCATTCGCTAATCTCAAGACTGCCTGCCCATGTCTTTGTCGATCTATTGTATGCATGTGAACAACCCTTCATTGCCACCGTACCGTGCAAGCAAAACGGAGACGTGGAAAGACGCAGTGCTCGGGACATGAACCCGTGACCGAGCTAGCTCATCTATGTCCCACTTGCAGCGTCCTACTCTCTCGCTTACCAAAACAACCTCACTACTGTTACTGCAATCTGTGGTCTGCTCTTTCACGGTGAAGATTGTTCATGAAGCACTTTTGGGATGGACACTGATGTAGCAGTGGGTTGGTGAGTGCAGCAGGAGGTGGTGGAGCTACTGGAACGCGGGGAGATGGTGTTGACGGCATCGAGGAAAGGAGACCTGCGGCGGCTGGAGTGCCTGCTGAGGAAGCGCGTCGGCGTCCACAGTCGCGACCAGTACGGCCTGACGGCGCTCCACGCGGCGGCGATCAAGGGACACCGCGACGCGGTGGCGCTGCTGGCCGACTTCGGCATGGACTTGGAGTGCCAAGACGTGGAGGGGCACACGCCGCTGCACCTGGCGGTGGAGGGCGGTTGCCTGGAGACCGTGGAGACGCTCATCGACATGGGCGCCAACGTCAACGCCAAGACCAACAGGGGAGCCACGCCGCTGGTCATGGCGAGGTCCATGGGCTACGAGGCCATCGCGCAGCTGCTGGCGACGAGGGGAGCCGTGTCCTCCTCCTGCATTGCCTCCTCCTCTTCCTCCTCAACTTCATGAAATTTAGATTTCAAGTCTGGTGTGATGTCACTTCCTCCTGTAGGTTTCGATGCTCTCATCTGGGGTTCATGAGACGCTGCCTGCCATGAAAGAATTGTTTCGTATCTCAGATTCAGAGCGCATTTTATAGTCTCAGATAGCATAATTTCAAGTACGATCTCAAAATGCAATGCATGGTCACAAAATTTTGTGTAATCAACAGAAATTATCAGTATGCCTAATCTAATTGTTGCTTATTGCAGAGCATGAAATTTGGAAGTAATCCATTTACCCTCATAAATTTCAATGTATTTTCTTCATTATTGCTCCTCCAATTAACATTACATCAAAACTCTTGTGGATTTTGTCGTCCACGTCATCGATGTTGCTGTGAGACCAAGGTGAATCGGCGTTGACATTTGAGCTTGCTAATCCGAACCACAATCGAACCCAAAACAAATTTACGTGGGCCGAGAGACCAGTAGTCTGTGTGTAGATCTTATCTGGTTGAATTATTTGCAGTCTATTACTTGGCTTTCTATCTTAGTCACTTGGTAAAATCATCCGATATATATATATATATATATGCTCAATTATTTCCACAATAATTGAAGCGACTTCCCTCCAAAGGAAAACCCTCATTATTGGGAAGGAAGAAGAATCCGAGAACTAAAAGACTAAGATCTTGCTGTAGGGATGATATGAGGCGCTGTCGGGAGATGGAGAGATGAGGGCAATATGACAAAACTGTGACTGTAACTGCAGCTGGATCATGTTGCGAGCAACAGTAAGCTAAGGTGAAAGGAAGCCAAAAGTGTAGGCTGTGGAGCCTGCAGTAGAGAGGAGGAGGATGATGATGATGATGAAGGTGATGTGGGTGGTCTGTGTCATGGTCGTTATCCTGAACTGCACAGAAGCTTTATGGCCATGGCTTCTTTGACCACCATAAAACGCCATCCGATTGATGACTATGTAACACCACATGCGGTTGCTATCATGGCAGCTGTTGCAGGTCATCACACAAGCAAGCTGTAGCAAACAGCGCCGCAGGGAAGTGGTGTTCGCCCACTTGAGGCTTCGAGAGTGGATAGGAACAGATCTGAAGGATGTACTGTGCACGAATCGTGTAGATTCGCAGTCGCAGAGAACAAAGTTTTGAGGGCGCCTTCTCCTTCAAGGTGGATGGCATATCAGCATCCACCATGGGAGAGAGAGAGAGAGAGAGTGCAGTGCAGAAAGCTTGCCGGGCCCGGTCAATCCTGGGTTTCAGACGCACAGTTCCAGCTTGGGAGACCGGAAGATGCCCTGTTGGCTTGCTTGAAATGAAAGCTCTACGCTCGATCGAGGGGTGATGGTTTCAGATGGTACGTACAATTTGACAGACATGGGAGGATTGGGACTTTGCTGAGATTATGCATCTCTTTGAAGCTATCATAGATAGAACTGTGTTACAAGCTGATGGGGGCAGGTGAGGAGAGGTGTTGATGGCGAGCAGTAGCAAACCTAACCACTTGAGGGCAAACCTGCATGCGGAATAATGGCGTTATCTGTTCCCTCTGGGGCCGATCAAGTACACGGTGGTCGTGACGCTGCCTGCAACCATGACCGTGTGTCTTCTAAAGAGGCGATAACAGCTCATGCTCCTCTCGTACCATCAGCCTATTCCTTTGGCACGTCTCGGCGAGCGTGCAGCTCCGAATGCCCCACAGTGCAAGCTTGTGTGCGTGCAGGGGGTTGAGCAACCCAGGCTTCTCCGGACAACCCTTTCTCTGGCCTCAACAGGACAGCACTTGGGCAGCTTCATATGTATGTTTGCTTCCTCTATGTTCTCACATCAAACTTTATGCTTTGCTGCATCGCGGCTATACGGCAGATGGTCGTCAGAGCTGCCCGAGGCCATATTCTCCGCTGCGGCGTCTCCAACATCTTCCCCCACACTGCGTTGGCTTCTCCATAACTTGGACGGCACGATCTGGTCACAGCATCAGTCCTTCTGTAGAGCTTACCAGCTGGTACTTGGAAAGAGATGAGGCCGCAAGGCCCGATGCTATTTGTTTTCTGAGAATGTATACATGCACCATAGACATCAAATAAACCTCATCCCACATGCTGAGCTACTGCACTCTCCTGTCTGCAAAATCTGCGAGAGTTCAAACATGTGTTCAACGTAGCAGCCTGCAGCAGGCACACACACTGACATGCTCAACACAAGCGATGAGCTTTCATGTGTTATTTAGCTTCCGGAACACTTAAGCGACAAGAGGACAATATTAGGGTACTGCTGCTTATTATTGCTATGGTAAATTAGGGTACATTTTTGGAAGAAGCACAACTGCTGCATGCAGCAGTAAGCTTTGGAGGATTCAGTAGCTTTCCACTTTTACCACGTACTTCCTACTGTGTTCCTCTTCATGGAATGTGTTTGGTTCGCAGGCATGCGGACAGATCCCACTAATTAATCTCAGTACGCCTACTAAATTGTGCGCAGGACTGATCACCTCCATCAGCTGCTCCTGGCACGACTATATAACCCCCACCTGGACAGTGACACCAGCTCTTCTTGTCCTGTAGGTGGCAAATGGAAGCTGGATAGGAAGGGGAAGGAGCGAGCCAGCCTTCCTTCAAATAACACCATTCATGTAGATGCTAGCTAATCACCCATTAAACAGAACTGCATGTCTACTTGTGAGTGTCTTCTTCCTGCGCAATCATGTGCATGATTAGGGATTTATTGCCAACTTATCTCCAGCCCCTCTTTGTCACCTTGTGGGAGTGCAATACTTCATAAAGCATGCTGCTTCAGTCCAAATATTTCTGCTTGTATAACTTGAGACCACGGGTGATGAAAGTGCATGGAGAACAAAAAGTTTAGATTTCTCACTATAAGAAGATTGATTCTTTGCTTTCTTTGAATCTGTACAGCAAATATGCGTCATAATATGTGGAGGCATTGTCCTATGCAATTGTCTAGAGAGATTCTCACATCTGAATGCACTTTGCGCTAAAAGACGAGCATCAGTAAACACTCAAACTTGAGTTTGATTGTATTATATATACATTGAGGATGAAGACTGCACAGCAGATGTTGATGCCAACTGAGCAGTGCGTTTACCTGAAACTAAAGAATCCATAAAAGAAAGAAGAAGTACAGCAATTAAATATCAAAGTTCAGATGGGCGTCCCCAAACAATCATCAACCCTTCTGACTTCGATTCGATCAAATACTTAAATTTGCATCACGAAGTATCTGTTTCAGCATTCGTTCAACACAGTTTTCAGACAATATTGTCAAAGCTATCTATGACCTAAAAGTAGACGATCTCCATAGCTTGTGATGTACTTAGACTGCTTGTGCAGATCAGCATAAAAATTCCTTTTGATCACCGATATGCGACCTAAAGAAGCACTCCATTGAAGAAGCTTCATGACAAATTAATGCTCATGGGACCTACTTGTAGACAATGGTTTGGTTGCATGACGTCGTAAGTGAACGAGGGAATCGTCCTTGATGGGGTCATGCTGATAAAGGAATCACATTACCGAAAAGCTCGGTGGAGACTTGCGATTGGGAAGCTTTTATGAGGCAGCTTGGTGGAGTTTGGAGGAAGGAGAAGAAACAAACTATTCACCAGTCAATGGATGGCAGCGTCGTTGTGCTTCCCTTCTCTCAAGCCTTTAGATAAAGAAGGCCACGAGGACGATCTTTGTCCACCCTAGCTAATGATACTGCATAATTGATTACCTGCTTCACGGTGAAGAAATGATAATTACGAGCTAAACTATTTAATGATGTATACAATGTACTCTTTTTGATATGAGAATTGACAAATGAAAAACACATCCTTAATGAGACGAATGATGATAATTTTTTCTTGGAACTACAAATCAATTCAACAATTCCAGTTTGGAAATTCCTTGACCTAATACATGTTTTATGGTATGTGAGAAGAAACCATGTTGTTTGAAGTGGCATGGTCTTTTCTTTTCTGATATGGTTATGAATGGGAGGAAAATATATGGTTTATGTTAAAATGAGCTGCAAGGCTAGATAAGGAGATTTCTAACCTTTTTTTTTTCTCTTGCTATTTACAATACTATTTTAATATTTTCAAGATACGCTTATGTAAATAAATATAAATATTATTTTTATCTTATTTTTCTTTTCCATTATCGAAGAGGCATCGGAGCAATGTCAGATAGTAGAGTTGCATCAGAGTGACATCAGAGGATATCCTTATCCACTTGTATCCGATTGTGGAGTGGCATTGCATGATGTCAAGAGGGTGTCGAGCGACATTAGATTGCGCTAGCTAGCAGAGTGGCATCGAGCAACATTGGAACAGAGTCTTCCTCTTCCTCGAGTGACAAGAAGCATCCGACGTCACGAGACAAACTATTGACATTGAGTGACATCGAACTATATCAGACTATTAAGTGGCATAGACACAACTAGGGTTCTGATGGATGAAATAAAGGGTTGCAAAAGAAAAAAAGAAGATAAAAATTAGCAATTAAGAGATAGTAAATTTATTTTTTAAGGAAATACCAATAAAAAGAGAGTTAAAAAAAAAATTGCCAATACGATGCTTCTAACATAATTGTCTTCATCATCCTAATCATCCTAATGTAAGTTTCATTTGATAAAAAAGATGTTGCATCGAAGCAATATCGGATGGCGAAGTGGCATCGAGTGACATCAAATGACATTCTTATCCACCTGTGTTGAGTTTTGGAGTGGTGTTGGACGACATCAAAGGGGCATCGAGCGGCATTAGATTATGTCAATTAGCGAAATGGAATCGAGCAACGTTCGAGCGAAGCCTTCCTCTTCGTCGAGTGGCAAGCAATATCTGACGTCACGAGATGACCTACTATTTCCAAGGGACATCGACATAATTAGGGTTTTGATGGATGAAATAAGGGGTTAAAAATAAAAGATAAGATCAGATTGATAATTGAGAGATAGTAAAATTATATTTTATTATTCATTTTAAGGAACTACCAAGGAGAGTTGCGTATAGTTGTCTTCATTACTCTAATATGAGCTTCGTTCGATCAAAAAGATGTGGGAGAAATCCATAAGCATCATTGACTAACAATAGCGAAGCTAAGATGATGCCTAAACCTCTCATCCACGGATGCTTTTATGAAAAAGATGTTGATGGGTTCTTCCGAAAAGAAAGCGGGAAAGGGAATGCGAAGGGGACAGCAGCGGATGGCGATCCATTTGCCAATTGATTCAAACCAATCAACATGTATTTGGGCTTTTACATGAGCGTAGGAATGACCAATATACGAGGCGTGTTACTTAGTTCATATATGTCTTTAAGTTAATCAAAGAGACATGGAAAATTATGTAGCGTATTAGAATAAAGTCTGGAATATATCATTATTTCCTTAACAGGATCCGCATTGGGATCCAAATCAAACAGAATCGAACCCGTTAACGACGGGTCCGATTCTTATTAGACTGGGATTGAACACCAAATAAACCCACTTGTGCGACCAAATCGTGCGCATAGAGACTCGCTTCACCGCCTCCTCCTTCCTATGGTAGAGAGGTCCAAAAGTGACGTCCAAAGACGGGGGGCCACCACGTGAATCATCCCGCTCCTCTTCTCGCTATCTCGTTCTCCCTTGATGTCCTTCCAAAACCACATCTCCTCTCTCTCTCTCTCTCTTCTCCGCTCCGTCGTCTTCTCTCACTTCACTCTATCTAAAGTGCAGAGCGAGAGAGAGAGAGAGGGTGGGGAAGAGACGACGTAAGAGGAGTGGTTAGCAGCGGAAGCAGGTGCATGGACTCGGCGAGCGCAGGCCCATCCGCGGGGTGGGGGGGGAGCGGTCGTCAAGTGGCGGCTTAGGAGATGCGGGGCCGCCGCGGGCGGCGACGACGCCGAGCAGGTACGAGTCGCAGAAGCGGCGGGACTGGAACACCTTCCTGCAGTACCTGCGGAACCACAAGCCGCCGCTGGCGCTGGCGCGCTGCAGCGGGGCTCACGTGATCGAGTTCCTGCGCTACCTGGACCAGTTCGGGAAGACCAAGGTGCACGCGCCCGGGTGCGCCTTCTACGGGCATCCCAGCCCGCCGGGGCCCTGCGCCTGCCCCCTGCGCCAGGCCTGGGGCTCCCTCGACGCCCTCATCGGCCGCCTCCGCGCCGCCTACGAGGAATCCGGCGGCACCCCCGAGACCAACCCCTTCGCCGCCCGCGCCGTCCGCATCTACCTCCGCGACGTCCGCGAGAGCCAGGCCAAGGCCCGCGGCATCCCCTACGAGAAGAAGAAGCGGAAGCGCGCGCCCCCCGCCGCCGGCCAACCCCATCCGGCAGGTGAGTCTTCCTCTTCCACTGCTCTCAGCGGCGGGAGCTGTGGTTCTGGGGCCGGTGAGGGATCTGGCCCTCCGCCCAGGGGCTCCTCTAGTTCCTGAGTTTCCGAGGCTCTCTCTGTCTCTCCCAGCCTCCATCTCTCTTCTATTTTTCTTGGTCGGTGTGATAAGAGTCTCCCCACTTTGCCGCTATCAGTGAGGAACGAAGGATTCAGGAAAAAGAGAAGGAAGAGATGACAACTCTGTGTCTCTCAAACTTCTTCGTATTGAATGTGAAGACTGTCGATTTTAATTGGTCGCCATCTCTTTACTCCTTTTTCTTGTATTCGCTCTCAAGAGATAACATTCATTTGGTCGACTAGACATGGTTAGCAGATCACTGTGTTGGCGTTCGGAAGAGTCTGTATGGGGGCGTCAGTCCTCATCTGCTTTAACAAAGATTACATATATCTTCGAATAATTATTGTTCTGATGTCCATCTCTCTCTCTCTGAGAGGTGCAATGCGCTGATCAGCTCTGCTTCTACACTGTGTCTCCTTCCTTCCCTTTCTCATCTCTTTCTTCCTCGCATTTCCATTCCCTTCATCCTCTTCAAAGAACTAATGCAGCCACCATCAATCATGTGTGTTCTTTCAGATGTCATCACGTTCCTTCCTCGTGGATCCAATACCGGTTGTCATCCTGGATCTCAAGTGCAACAAGAGCATATCTTGTTCTTTCATGGAATTGTGGATGGTTGGAGCTCTGGTCGATCACGAGAGAAATCAATGGTCCCCTACTGGTTTAAGCCAGATCCTCCCACACGTGCGTTTTCCCATCCCCCCTCCCCCCTTCCCCCCCTCTGACTCACCCCCGCCCACTCACTTTCCTTAGTTTGGCAGCGATAAAAGCAGACTGTAGTAGTTCGCCTCCTTCTTCTTCGTCTCTCTCTCCGTCCTGTACTACCTCTTCTTCCTCCCCTCTCTCTCTCTCTCTCTCTCCAGAGGACTCATCTCTCCTTTCTGTAACTATCATTACCAGCTTAGTCTTGCCTCGTCCTTTCTTGACAAGTTACTCTATCTTTTTTTAGTAATATATATGATCATTGCCACCTCAGTTGTTGCTTGCATTGCAACAACTCCTACCTTTGTCAACCATCTTCACCTTTCTTGCTTTCCGGAGCTGCTTTGATGTTACAGATCTTTCTCTTCACTTCATCCTGTGATGGCCCCTATCACAAGAACAACAGTAAGCCTCGGTGGAACCAATCTTTTAGATTGAATCCCCCGTTCTTTTCCTCTTCTTACCCCCAGAATATCATAGTCCAAACTGTGCCTCTAGTAAGGGGAAAAAAAAGCTCGATCTCCAATCTTTGTGGGGTACGCGACACTGAGTAGATTTTGTATTCTTATTCTTCAATGATGGAGTGGAGCAAGAGGAGGAACACCACTGCACGTCTAGTCTTGTCCAGACTTCGACTTCGGGTTGGAAAGGAATATATACTTTAAATAATCCTCACCCATCACCTTCTACGTATTTGACGCCATTCTCATCATTAATATCCCCTAACTCTCACACCTCCCTGTCGGAGAGAGAACTCATGAGCCAATCACCACCGGATTAGTTTAGGAGACGTGAGGCAGCTGCCTCACGAGAAAAAGATCATGAGAGAGAAAGAAATGGTAGAAAGCCGCTCCTGGCTGACCTTTCTTGTAGAGCTTACCCTAAACGGAGCAAAGAAAAGAATGCCGAATGCGTATTGAAGTACATATTGCCCTGCATAATCAATGTCCGATCATCTACTACTTTGATCTTCCGAACATTCATGATGCATGAATCATTGACATGCTTTCCCATGACAGGTTGATCGGGAAAGTCTTGTATCTTGTGTCCAGGAAGGTGCTAACTAAGTTTGGTGTTCTTTATCCAGAGCTTTCCTTTGAATTCTCTTGGCTTATTATGATTCTCACTCTGATGAATCCCTTCCTTCCATTAGGGTTCACCTCCTGTCTTCCCCATGGATTGTTTGTTTCCAGGATGGTGTGGAACTCTAATGTTGCAGTGTAGCGGTTTCTTCGGAACAGAAGCAGACCTTCGACTGTTGTGGGACAGAAGCCATGATTAATAAGCTCAAACAATTCCCTAAAGCTCAATAGATCAAACATGTCTGCCGTTTGAAGAGGGTCTTTTTATGCCTACAGGACATATCTGGAAGCAAGATTTGGTTCAGGAGACAAATGCATATGCTTCTTCCATTTCTCTTCTTTATTTGATCCTGCACCTGCCATGAGATCTACTGAGATCTTGTAGCAGTATGTCATATGGTAAGCTATACGTATAAACTTGCTTGGAGTGGTTGGAAGTTCATCCTAGACAATGGATAGTGTGTGTGTGTGTGTGTGTGTATTCATTGCTTATAGAATAGAGATGATGTTGATGGCTAACAAGAAGGTTAGATCTAGCGAAATCTAACAGTCCTTTTCCTTACTATTCTCAACTTGTCCTATATATTAAAGAACATTATTCACAGGGTTTGGCTTATTGCCCTTTTCCAGACCTTCTAATTCCCTTGACGATAAGCAGATCATTCAACATCTGCTAACCGATGACGGCAGCATTGTGTATGAGCTACGGAAATTGGATCGAGACCACTCCCATATTGTTGAGAGATTCAACAGAGTCAATCTACTTCTCTCTCTCTCTCTCTCTCTCTCTCTGTATATATATATATATATATCGGTAATGACTTGATGAACCTAAACTTTTGAATTATATTCATGCATAAACACATGTTTAACATTTATTCAGATGTAATTTGCTTCAGTAGTTTCATATTGCTGAAAGATTAGTAGAGATAGCTTGTAACCTTAGTTTTTTGGTTGTACTAAATCACTATATATATATATATATATATATATATATATATATATATTCTGCATGCTGCATATCAAATGAAAAGAACTCAGTTGATTAAGAAGAACACAAACAACAACTCTTTATGAAAGTAATTTATCTCACAATGGAAAAGAATGATAAATTGTAACTTGAAAGAATTTTAGAGCAAGCATAGTAATCTCAAGGTAGAAAAAAGGTTGAAGGACCAAGAAACAATCATTTAGATCATCCACAGAAGTCAGACTACAAATATGAAGTTGCTGAATTTTGGGAACTGCAATCTGTCTGTCGCATGCTGTGGCAACCAATGCTGAAAGTAAGGATGAGATTATAGCACAATCTATAATGTGTTGTTGATTGTTAGAAATTCAATTCATGTGTGATTTGGATCCTAATGAATGCTTGTTAGGCAAATCACTGTGTTACAAAGATGATGATGTGGTCTGTTCAAATGAGAAAAAATATGTTTTATAGTTCATTCATGCTGTTCTTAAATTTTAGATATATGATACTCTATTTTCTTACTGATAGAAGATTTCATTCTAGTCTGTGGCTTTATTCACATCATCTATTCTAATGAAGGAGATGGATTGCAAGTGTAGGAAAATAAACTAAAATTGATTTCCAGATCCTTTTATAGTGTCTGGAATACATGTAATTGTGAAACTTGTTATCTTTATAGAATGATTTATCGAGAAGCTTTAGAAATCAAGTGTTTGACATATTTTATGGATTTAAGAAATGAGCAATGAGTATTTGATTTACATTGCAAATTAGAGCATATATTTGGAGGAAAGGAGGATGCATAAACACATATAGCACAATGTTTTTTAGATATATATATATTAAAAGCACATACATAAATGAAAAGCTTCTACCTCTTCAGATTTTGATTCATATCTCAGAAGCCATTGCAGGTATGACTCCTTGAATGACTTGGGTAAAACATTCGTAGAACATTTGATTCTTGATAGCAAAATGCTATTTAGATAGATGGAATCACTTCACAACACTTTTGAGGTGGTATGGCCTCTCATCATCGGCACTGAAATCTATGAGAGGTGAAAGTCATAAACCTTGATAGGCATTTTGATTGGTGTGATTGGAGTCGGCTAAATGGTTCCCAATGAGCAGTCCAAGAATGACATGGATTTGGTGTTGGAGATTACTACTGAAAGAACTAATGTTTTCTAATGATGAGTTAAACTGCATGCCTACAACTGTAAGATTGCAGATAGCAGCAGATGCAATTGCTTAGATGCATACCTGTTTTGTTGGAGATGGGGTGCTCAAAGAAAGAAAATATATGAGACTGTGATTGAGAAGGAGAACCAAAATCTGTGTTTTAACTTGCAATCCAATCTCAAGTATGACATGCGGTATGTCATATCATAAGTTCACTTACAGTGCATATGGATTTAGTAGCAAATACAATATACTGTAATAACTTACAAACAAGCAAAAAAGGACTTGCAATAGCTTGCAAACAGCCAAATGCGTCTTCATCGGAAAGGGACATGAATGCAGACAGCATCATTGCCAAAGATCGCACATGTCCATGCTTGATGTTTCTGAACGTAATAACCACAAGCAAATCACTCCATGTAAAAACGCATACGCAGACAGATCATTAGGTAGCTTAATTTCTCGATTTATTAGCTACGTTTGATCATACGAAGGCATAAAACCAAAACCTCATTCACTGTTCTCGTGCGTCCATTATCGTCTGTCTGATGTCTCTGAACAAAGAAGAATGCATCTTCGTTTCATGCGAGGACGAGAGCAGGCAGATCGTCGGCAAACCTTCCCATCTATCTCCATGCCTCTTTATCTTCCTAAAGCTATCACCGACATATGTATCAGTGGTTTAGTGCAAAGACTTCCATGGGTTATATATATATACTGTAGGTTACGGAGGAGGGCGAGGCATCACCATCAACGAGAAGGCCGTACCGCCACAGCAGAGGCTGGAGGTGGGGGCGGGGCCGGGGAACGTGAGGCTCGGCGGGGAATCCGGGGATGCGGTCATATGCGGCTGGGCCCCGACGGCCACCCGGTTTGACTCGGTGTCCACTCGGTCTCCGACAGAGAAATCTACAACCCGGATTTGACACCTTTAACCGACGGGCCGCATCGTGCCCTCGACCACCATGGAAGCAAGCTTTCCCCAGTCCCACCACCGCCATGGCCGCCACACCAACCCTATCTCTGTGTACGGTTCGCCTGCATGCACAAATGCCATAACCAACAGGCTTTCTAATGGCAGCGGCGGCCTCGCTATCGTTAGGGTTATCCCTGGGTGCTCCAGGGATAGACCAGAGACGCAGCTGGGGCAGAACGCCATTAGAGAGTGCTTCATGCATGGCGTTGCAGTCGACGCATTCTCTCCGACGGATGCTGTGCCATTGTGGACGGACTGTCAGTGCACAGCATAAAGCTGTGCCATCGCTATCTGGTATAGTTCTCTGATCGCAAACTTAGATCTTTTCCCTACCGTTCA